ATATTGTGTTATATAAACCACACATTAAGTGGTACCACTGGATCGGCGATATTTCCTCAACTGTTTTCCCATCGATTTGGTTTATTTTAGATTATCAACGTGTCAGACCTCACAGAAATTTGCAAAAATTGTCACTATAAATCCAAGTTCTGGCATTTTAAAACTTTAAAGCTGAAATTTCAACCAAAATTTCCTTAATTTAGAATTCTCGCTTTGAAATGGATCTAAATGTGTAAAAAAATCACCTTCAAATATCTTATTATAGATATTATCTTGAAGATATGTGACTGACGTTCATTTGCATACCTAGGTTTATAAATATTTTGTATATTAAAAAATGTTTCATTGACCAAAAGTTCTAAATTTAAATTTGGCAATAGCCCTTCTTTTGATGTAAAAGTTCGGAAGTCGCGTTAGTTTTTACTATTTGTTTACATTCGGTTATTTGTTATGAACTTTAAGATCAAAACACACAAAACAAATAATTACCGGTATTTGACAGCTGTATCCTGCTGTATCTGTAGAGATTATAGTGCGCAGACTCCTTCAAAAACACTGTCCTCGTTCTCTTGTGTCTTGTATCCTGTATTTATTTTTTTTAATTACGTTTAATATTCGTGGAAGAAATTTGTTTTTGTTCGATATTTACATTAATTTCAATTGTTGTATTATTTTATTTCATACTTAAAAATAAAAGACTATTCTGGCACACTCGATTTTGAATAATAAACACTTTGCGAATTCACTTTACCACTCATTGATTGGGCGCCTTATTTATTATAAAAGAGCATTTGTTGTTGGAATATTATAGAGACCAATGACCGTTATGGGTTAAATGCATGTGGATCCCGGAAACACGCGACATAGTATCTCACTTTGGCGATTCCCGGACAAAAGGCGTTTTCAAAATTATAATTTAAAATACTTTTTATTTTATAATTCAATATGTTTGTTTATTAACTTAACAATTTATTTATATATTTTTTTTTACTCAAACACCCCCACCGAACCGTTAAGCGTCCATGTAAAAACTAATTGGAAGGAACAAAATATGCAAACGTACGACAGGAATAAATAACATGTCTCTTGTCACACATAAACACAGTTACTCCTTTAGGGGTGGTTTGTCACAGCCACCATACCACCTTATGGTCGTCGTACGCTACTGTCTGGCCATGTTGGATGGTTAGAGCAGCGAAACATAAACAACAACCGGCAATTATGCTCAACAAAAACAGAAAACATGCCAACAAAAATGGACAGACAAACAGACAGTCAAACGAAGGGTTGATGTACCCTGGCATTTGTTGTTTGCCGTATTCTTGGTCTCTGGAGGGCTTTAGCCTACCAAGTTCCAAACTACAATTTGCGATTGATGGGGATGAGATGAGGTGATAGAACACGTTCACTTGCAGTTCGAGCCGTCCATTGTGGTAGTGGGTGGTTGTTATTTACATTCTGAAACAACGTGCTATCCAAATGCTCTCTCTCTCTCTCTTCCTGTTTCCTGCTCATAGAGTGTGCGCATTGGGGGAAGATTATAAACATAAATGGATGGGCACACACTTTATGCTACAAATATATCCAGATTGCATTGCAATTTCTTTACTGTTGCAAATTGATACTTGACGTAGTGATTTACATTCCGCATTCCATTATGATCCTTAGTATATTTATGGCAGCATAGGGTTGTAATTTGAATCATGTGCATAATTATTTAAAATGAGTATTAATTAGGGTTGTCGATTGAGACACAATTCGGTATTAATGTTTGAAGAAATTAGGTAAAATATGATTTGAAAGATTCACGCTTTTATCTATATACTAGCATATGCCCGCTACTTCGTTAGCGGATGTGAGAATTATTTAAACATATCTAAATATTTTATGTTGTTTTCACAGAGAACTGCATATGTCAGAAGAGCACCTCAACATACACACCAATATTGACCATAATTAAAATTTTAGTACATTTGGTTCCTTTGTTATCTTATATTACGTATATAGTACCATTTAGTACACATTAATATAAAGAAGAAAACATATTTCCCAATTTCAGGATCCCAGTCAAAATCCCCTCACTCAAATATACTTGTACTAAATTTAGTACCATTTAGAACACAATAGTCTCAATTTCCAAAACTTCTTACATATCCAATTCCTACACACCAACAGTTATTCTAACTTCAAATTTAAGGATTCCAGCTCTTTCAGTTCACCCAAATTCATATTTTATACTATTTAGTGCACATTAGTACAATCTTCCAAAACTTTCTGCAACTTCGTCCTGATTTAGATTAGGCGAGTTTACTTGCGGCAATACTTATCTTTCTCTTTTGAACTTGCTTCATTCGTCTATGCAAGGCAATTCGTTTGCAAACATGTATTTTCTGAATTGAATTATTTTTTCTGAAATGACACTACAAACAAAATACACAAAACGAATTGCCAGAAAATTGTAGGTGCGAGCAATTTTTTCCATTTCTATTCGTGATTCCAAATTCGATTCGAGATCTATATGTTAACCCAAAATTCAAATTGTACCAAATTTAGTACCCATAAGTATACATTTCCTAAACTAAATCCATACCGCTATACTACACTCCGACGAAAATGTTAATTTTAAGGATTCCAGCTCCACCCGTTTTTTCAAATTCAAATTGTACCAAATTTAGTACAGTTTAGTATTTTTCGGATAAATGCGTACACGCTTTCGAAACCTTATATTAAATCTCAACCTTAATTCGCATTCCAAATTTCAAGTTCTTAGCTCTATCCATTCACATGGTACGAAATTGTACGAAATTTAGAACACGTTAGTACTTTTCGCATACTTATAGTTGGAATGGCCAAAAAATCTTTGCTACATATTTTCTATACTCCACTCCATCAGTTACCCTCATTCCATATTTAAAAAGTTTTAAAAGTTCCAGTAATACCGGTTCGTCAAATTCAAATGGTACCACATTTAGTACTTTTCGTGCCGTTCTACTATGAATTTTCAAAAAATCAGCCTTATCTGTCGCCTTTGGACCAATAATGATCCTCACCCGAAAATTGCACCTTCAGTCGTTTCGTCTGGGCGTTGATGAATTTTTAACTAGATTGTGGGTCACTGAATCCAAAAATTTGATTTTTATCATTTTTTCTTATCAGGATAATCGACCGGATCAATTTTTGGGCTGTGTCCTTATGTTTACACTAGCACTGCTCGGGTATAGATTTTTTAGATGATTTAGTGATCGTCTTATTAGTGCGACCATATGGTCACACTAGCACACAGCTCGGGTTAAGTCAGTTGTTCAGTGAATCAGTCAGTAAGTTAGTCAATCACTTTACTCTTTTATTAGCATGATTTGTTTAAAACCACTTTAAACATTTTTTGGTTTAAATCCAGTCTTACGACCAGGACAGTCATTAACTGGGATAGTTCTTTAAATATTATTAAAATTAAAAAAGTCTACGGGGATAGTACTTTTACGATTATTTTTTTAAAAATCCACAATTTTGGCTAGGATAGTCCTTTAAGTTTATTCCCACTCCTACAGTTATTAATACTACTTAGTCCTGATTTATATTAGGCGAGTTTACTTGCGGCAATTTTTATCGTTCTCTTTTGAACTTGCTCCATGCGTCTATACAAGGCAATTCGGTTTCCAAAAAATGTTTTTATTTGTTGTTTTTTTCACATTTAAATATATATAAAATGTCAACAAATACGAAATACACAAAACGAATTGCCAGAAAATTGTCGGTACGAGGATTTTTTTTTTATTTCTATACCCCTTGCCCCTCTCTCCTACAAACAAAGACTTGCCGCAAGTAAACTCGCCTAATCTAAACGTGGACTTAAACATTTTTTTTTTAATCAAATTTTTGACATATATGGACTTTTAAACATTATTATTTATTTAAAACAAACTTGTAGTTATAACAGTCTTTAAAATAAATTTTATCAAAATCCACTCTTTAAATTTATGGTTAAAGTTAGAATAAAAAAATCAAAAAAAAAAAAAATAATCGACACTTATAATAACAATAGTCCTCTAAAAGTTTTTTTAGGGTTTCTTAAACCTCATAAGTCCACTGAACATCATTCTTTAAAATATCCTCAATATTTCTTTAAAAAATCCCCCAATAAAAACACAACAAACAATTTATTGATTTTGTTTTTAATAACATTTCTTTTTTATATAACTTAATATATACATAGTTATGGGAGTATGGATGTAAATATGGGGCCATGGGAGATGTGTGTTTGTGTTGGTTTTTTATGTATTTTGTTTTTTTTTTAATTATAGTTTTACGAGTAGCGTTTTTTCAATTTCTTTATATTTCAAGTCAAAGATAAATATTACGCGTTATTTTAATAATTTATTACAAATCTATATATTGTATTCTATTATTTTATTCATTGCAGGTTTATTTATTTAAAAACAAACGAAAGAACAACTTGTTGTGGAAGAAGCCAGGATATAAACAATAAAGCATCGGATAACAATGGGAATATCTTCTATTCATTCCCCGTGGCTGGGACTTTCACAATCTGATTGTGTCCGTTTCGGTTTTCGTTTATGTTGCTCTCACAGCAGCTTACCAAAAACTCTCACACTAAAGCAATAGCAGCAGTATTCTTCGTCGAGTTCCAGTTTATGTCTCTTTCTTTACAATTTTAACTTCACTTTGTTGGCAAAACAACCAGGATGTAACACTGAACGTAATTAATTCCGTGTCAGTGGTAGTAGTAAAAGAACGTTTTATGCTTCAAAAACATTTTGAATAATTTACTTGCTTTCGGTATTTTACTACGTTCTGTTTAACGAATATTTCTTGTTGTTGTATTTTTTTATTCTATATATATACTACAATAATTAATAATCACTCACTCACTGATATTCGCTCACCGAAAGTGTTTTCTAAAAATACACATTTATAGACAGAGAGAGATATACAACTGGGAGAGGGGAAGGGAGGAGGAGGTTATGTGTGGAAGGGGAAAATAACTTAACCTTCGAGCATGGGACGTGGACATCGATTGCATTGATCGATAACCATGCGCGCTATCCTCTTGATATCCTCATATGGTTTTGGATGGTTAATTAATTCCGTAAGAATCTCAATGCCATTTTCTTGTTCCACCAGTTGGCAATATTTATCTGGATAGACCTGCGAAAGGGAAAAATTTTAATTTCAGTTTCCAGAATTGCATATGATGAATCAAAAAAGTGTACCTGTGTTAGATTTGCTAAAGCCCATACTGCCCAATGTTGGCATTGTGGAGTTTCATAGCAACGTACCAAACCCAAAATGGGTTCAAAACTACGATAATTAATATTACGATCGCTTTTTATGTCCCATCGAACAATTGCTTTGACCATATTTGCTAATACTTCATCGCGTGAAGGCTCTTTAATTGTCCAAGCTTCCGGGCCATCGGAGGCTATATGTGCCAGCACACCAGCTGCATTATAACTTACCTGTAAAAAAAAAACAATCAAACATAAACATAGGTTGTTACAAAAATTAAAAACCAAATTCTTAAAACATATTAACATTTTTATTAACAACATAAGCATGGATTATAACTCTTTGAAAATATTCATTAAAAATCAATATTTATAGTTCTGGTGGATGTTCAAAATATCCATGTCGTATAACTACGATACACAAAAATATGCATTATAAGTGAAGTTATCGTTTGACCTTTTACAATATTCGCTCATTACAAAATATTCATAGAAAATCCTCTTCAAATATACACACATATAAATTGGATGCTCCGAAGCATTCAGATCCAATAGTCTATCAAAAATAATATTTAATATGCTTTATGTTTTAAAGACATTACTTCTTCTAATAGCCCCTTGATAATATGTATATACGCATAACTAGCATACTTCCTGTATTTAAAATATTTTAATTAATTTGTGAAATATTTGGAAATGCCTCTTATAAAGGATTAGAATGATTGAAGGTGAGTCTAAAAATAATAAAAATTATTCAAAATTCAAATCACGTTTTGGTCCCTAAGCACGTCAGGAAAGATCTTCAAGATATAGGGAGAACAATCCAGAGCTACAAGAAGTGCCTATAGATTAAAAGCAATTTGAGAATACGCAGTGAATATTATCCTTGGTATTGCCTGGTATCCATAGCAACAGAATATCCTTAACAAAACTAGAGTTATATTGACGCAGCTTAAATCAATACTCCAAACTCTTTCGTCCTTATATGGTGACTACACCAAACCGTGGACTGATATAGCAAATTTTCTTCAGCTCATATATGTATAGGTTAATAATAATCTATTAATTGAAATATTTTCCGTAAGTAGAGTAATATAGACTATTTTCATTCCAATTGCATCTCGAAATTCAATGTCTAATAAAATATTGAAATCAATGGAATCCATTCGATCATTAGAATAATTATTATTTTACGATCTCTCCAACTTACCTCAATTCCATCACTTTCCGATGATAAGAGCTCGGCAAAAACTTCAATAAACTTTTGTGTCATTAATTTCGGCCTCAGCCATTTCACTTCTGCAACATTACCCAATAGGCCCATCATATTTCTTAGCAGTTCATCGCGTTCTCTAAACGTCTGTAAACGAGAAATATGAAATATAATTTGAAAAATGCTTAAAAAAGAGCACAAGGCCATTAACATACATTTAAACAACGTAGAAAATACTCCATACCACGGCCGTCTAAAAATCTCTTACAATTAATAGCAGTCTCATCAGTTACATTCCACATGGTTGACCATGCCACCTCCATAACATCATCCAATACCGAACGTGTTAAACGATCTTTAATTAAACTTAACATAGTCTGTAAATGAAAAAACAAATGTATGGAGAAGAGGGTCGAAATTAATTCAGTTCTCATTGTTTTGTTAGATAATTAACCTACATTAACAACTCCAAGTTCGCCCAAAAACAATTTTTGTCGTCCATCAACTTGGCAAGCCAGTGTATTTAATAGATATATAGCTATCCTTTGTACAAAACCCTCCTGTTCCGTTTTAGAAACTCCGTGTAATAATATTTTTATGAGACGTTCATATTCAAATAGCTGAAATGTAAAAATGAAAATAGCAATAAAAAACAAGAGATAAAATATATAATTTGTAAGAAAACTAACCACATCGTTGGGCATTTGAAATTGTGTCAATGTTAGGTATCCATTTCGTAGCATTGTGTCATCGTTTAAGTGCACCTCCATGCCATTGAGCAATGTTCGTATTATGTGATTTCTGAGTGGTGTGCCAAATTTCGATCGGTCACGTCCTTTTACAATATAAAATAATGTTGCACTATAAAAACGGAAAATTTTATAACATTAGCCCATCATCAATCAATTGGAGAATAGTTTTTTGTTTAACTAACCTTCCGGATATTTGCATATGTTTAAATTTCAAATGTCTGTCCATGGCTGTTAGAACAACATCCAAGGCGGTGTGTATGTCTTTGCAATTTTCAAAGCGAAACAAATGATAAAGATCATTGAGAACCTATAAGGAATAAAATTTCAGTTAAAAAAATCCACAAATAAGTAACCCAAATACCTACCCTTGTAAGAAGTACCGGTCTGTCGTAATAATATCTTGCCGCTGTTAATATTTGTTTTTCATTTGCATCGCCGGCAATCTATGAAGATAATTTTTGTATTAAAAATAATGTTTAATTTTCTTAATTACCATCAGAACTCACCTCATGAGCTGGTATATCATGACGTTTACAAGCCCAATGGGCTGTATGATATAAACCCAAAAATTGTAATGGCCTTTGGGTGCGCGATGCCAGACCCGGTATATCTGTATTGGATTTGTAACACGATTCTTTAGTTGCCACACCATTTCCCGCCAGATTTGTACCGGAAATATCTAAATGTGTTAATTCCGGTAGATTTTCCATAAGCATTTCCAATTTTTGATCGGGTAAATCGTATGTGCCATGACCATTATTGGTACTTGAAATTGATATATCCAATGTACGAAGACGACTGAGCGAACATATTGCATGTAACTGATTTGCAATGGGCCATACATTGAATAAAATCAACGTGTGAAGCTTAGGTAGGGTAGATAATGCCTGCAGACTGAAACTGGCTAAAATACACGATGTCAAATCCAAATGTGTTAAATCCGTTAAATGGGCAAATGTCAGACGTTGATGTAGAACGACTGCATTCAAGACCAAACGTCGCAAATGTGGACAATTGAACTGAAAATCGACAGGCTCCTTTTCATTTGGTTCGGCATTTTGCAGCATATGCGATCCAATGCCCAATTCCAGTGAACGTAGACTTTCTCCGTGCTGTGCTAATAGTTCGTGAGATTGAACCGTAACCTTGTCACAATACCACATGGAGAGTGAGTATAATTTGTGGCGCATGAGTATTTCAAGTCCTTAAAGAAAAAATGAAGTATTAATTTTTTCTTTACATAGTACAAGCTTGGATGACTTCAGACGGAACTATCGTTTCAGCATTAAACCGAATTTTTAATTTTTCAATAGAAAATTAAGGTCATAGCTTTATATGTATAGATTTTTTTTTCGTTTATACCGATTATACAAAAACCGAAAATACTAAATATGAATGTAGAAGACTTTATTATTCTCTAATATCTTTGCTAATAGATTTTCCGAAGCCTCTCACAGATTTGAGAGTAATTCAAATAATTACATTTGAAATCCGAAATCTATTCATATTGATTATTACTCAACCTTAAAGTCTTGAGAATATTTCTCTAGTTAGTCTTTGTATCGGTGGCTTCGTTATGAATAAATTAACGACTTACACTGTACTGTATCTTGAGCTAGTTCTACAGATGGCCGCCATAATTTCCATTAAATGCTTTTCCTAGAGTAACAAGTCTTTATTTTAATTTCTAATATGTCGTGACCTTGTGTCCTTTGATATAACATATGTAAATATACTACCTTTTTATTAGCAAAATAACATATTTAGGTCAATAGCATATACAGTTGTATGTAATCTGTACTGTATTTAGATTGATAAACCAAATTGATGACAATCGTCACTATGGGGAATGAGGAAAGCTGTTAAGAATTGTCTTATCAGTGCACATTTTTTGTTTTAATAAAACAAACACCTCATCATCATTATTATGCATCAATTATCGCTTCTAATCACATCAACACCATACAACTACGCACACACAACATACGTTCGGCCAACAATAAAGATGACAAGAACAAACGGAAAAAAACATCGAGGCCTTTTTAAAAAATGGGCGCCCCCTTTCATTGTAACGTAAACATCTACCGGATGATTAAGCAAATGACTCACCATAATTTGTTAAATTACTATTACGCAGATGTACAACTTTGAGTGATGTTCTATTTGTGTCCCGAAATAAACTTATAAATTTATCACCGAACTTTTGATAGAACTGTTTCTGATACGTATCGATGAGACGATCACAAATGGTGTTGGGTAGGACAACGCCACCGCGCAAATGGTATCTTATGTCGGCATCCTCTTCATCTTCATCGGCAATACTTTCGTCGGGACAACTGATGACATCAAGATTTTTACATATATACTGATAAACGATATCCTGCAGCGTCAGAGGATCTTCATCCAAAACGCCATTTGACTTTAAACGGACTTTTCCACTCATTTCTGTAATTTTGATGTTGAAAATTGTGTGTGTTTTCGGTCCGAACGCCTAAAAGAGAAAGAAATAAAACAAAGAAAGAACATTGAAGGATTAAAAAAAATAAAAAAAAAATGCATAGGGGTTTGGGAAAATTCTTAATTAGAAAAATGAAACAATTGGTTACGTCCACTAGGCTAACATTCAATGTCTTATTTGTAATATTCAGCTTCTGGATTCTCAGCTACCAGGCTCGGAAAGTTTGCAACCTTATCAAATTGGGCGAAAGTGAAATTATACTCAAGGGAATGATTTAGCTGGACAGTTAAAAAACTGGGCCAAACCCACTTTGCATCTTTAGAGACTGGTTCCTAATTTAAATTTTATCACAACTATCGATGACTTAAGCTGACGAACATTGTAGAACATATGCACCCATGACGTCTAGTTGGAGATTCAGTTGATGAGAATATTGTTTAAAATGTGTATCGTCCATAAAGCAGGTGTACTCAGCGATATTCGACGTTCATTTTTGAAAAGGAAAAGGAAAAAACATTTGGATAAAATATTTTTTGAAAATATCACTACAGCTCTCTATATACTTGCTGGATGAATACCCGAAGTATGTCGAAGGTTCTTTTCAGAAAATAAAGCGGCATTAGCGAATAAGTCGTATGCTCCTTGAAAAGCAAACGGTTATAATACTTACTCTTGTAGTTAGTGGCTATATGAAAAGAAGAAGAAATGCAACATTGTTACCGCTACAAGCATATTGGGGACACCAGTAATAGTTACCGGATTGACTCGTAAGAGCATCTTTCCGTAAAAGGATTGCCAACTATACAAATACATGCTTGTGATTTTTTCACATTATTTTTACGTGTGGGAATGTTTGTTGGCAGTTTCCAGCTTCGAGCCGGGATTGAGGCGAACCCTGGACCATGGTACTGCTCCATTTGTCACAACCCCATCCACCATAGGTATTTTAGATTAAGTAGTCCCTCTCAATGCCATTCGGATAGTTCCGAGACATCTTCCGAATGAACCAGAAGCCATTCCTTATCGCTAATAGGGTCTCATTCCCGTTCGACGAAGCGGTTGCATTAAATCTTTTTGTCAGAGATTTCTATGGCACTGTCGCGTTTTTGTTTTAGCAGCCCTATTGTTTCTACATAGTTTCAGCCAGTCAGTAGTTTCAGTTCAATCAGTAGTTTCTTGTGATAATGAATTAATGAATGGAGAAATGTGGAGTCTGATTAGGATTTGGTCTTTTAGAGTTCGAAATTGAGTGTGCCAAGGTAGCCACACCCACATCAGTCGAAAATCGTATTCCATATCATTTTTATTTCGAGAAGGGTTGGGATTATAAAAGTCGACTCCATAGAAACTATCTGAAGTGAGGACTTTAGTCAGCCATGGCATAGCCTTTTACCATGGTAAGCACTCGGCAACTAAGCCTGAAAAAAACTTGTTGAGGCGACCAGGGATCAATAAGGCTGCGTTCGAATAAAGTCGGGACCCTGAATGCGAACTGTAAACACTGATCATGTCGTCTTGATATGTGTGATTGGTGAAATAACTATCCTACGGACATAGGAGAGTCTATCCATACGAGGAATATGAATATATTACCACGAAATGTTGGAGGTCGGCCATAATTCCGATCACTAATTACCCCAAGGTTCTAAGGGGCACATTCAACAGCCTATAAAAACTGTCCACGCATGCTACAGCTATTTGTAATAACGTCAGGAGCAAGAAAAAGGTTCTCAAATCACTAGTCGGCAATAACTGGGGACCTGAAAAAGAAATATTTTTGACAAACTATAAAACATATAGAATGCTCTGTGCTTTGCTATGCGGTTCCAGAGTAATCCATCAACGTGTGCTTCACAAAGGAAAAAAAAATACACTCAAACCTGCCAAAGGCCTAGCAGAGGGCTCCACCATGGTGTCTCCTCATGATTCCGATAGAGGAAACAAAATTCGTCCACATACCAAGATGTTTTCCCAATATGTAATATCTGCTTGGTTGCTACATCCACCGTCCTGACATGTCAGGAATGATCTTCACGATCCAGAGAGAGGGGTTCAAATGTTTGTTTTTGTAGCATAGACGGCCCTTTAGGCTTGGTTGCCAAATTGCAATAAATTCGATTAAAAACCAGTAAGAAAAGTTCAAAAGTAGGACGGGGCCGACTATATGATACCCTTCACCACTATGGGTACATGCAAGAAATTTTAATATCTACAATATCCTGTCAATATAGAAATTTCGCATACATCAGTCGGGACCTAATTCAGTACTCTGTGCAAAATTTTGCATCAATCGGACCAATAAATTGGTGCACAATTTACTTAAAATCGAACGAAATTATATATGGGAGCTATATCTAAATCTGAACCGATTTCAACAAAACTTCGCATTCATTAATCATGACCTAATTTAGTACGCTGTGCAAAATTTTATCTCAATCGGATAAATATTGGCATTGTGTTGCTCCATTTACATAAAAACTATATATAGCATATTTAGATATAAATCTGAACCAATTCCAACAATATTTATCATACATCAGTACTATGTGCAAAATTTTGCTTTAGTCGGGAGTTTGGTGCATTAAATCGGACGAAACTATACATCGGAGCTATATCTAAATCTGAACCGATTTCAACAAACCTTGGCATATAACTATCTAGACCTAATTCAATACTCTGTGCAAAATTTTGTCTCAATCGGACCACAATTGGGAGTTTGATGCATCAATAAGTTAAAATGGGACTAAAATATACATGGGAGCTATATCTAAATCTGAACCGATTTTCTCAAATAGGGTTCGTCCTTGGGCCAAATAAGTGACCTGTGCCAAATTGCATCCAAATCGGATCATAAATGCGACCTGTACTTTGTTAACAAAAATACATGGACGCACGGACATGCATAAATCGACTCAGAAAGTGATTCTATGCATATTCACAAAAGGAATTATTTTTGCTGTTACAAACATATGCATAACGACACAATACCCTGTACCACAGTGTTGTGAAGGGTATAAAAAGGGGGTTATAAGGAGACTACCCCTAAAAGGGGGCGAAAATTAATAATTTTTGGGAGGGAGGTTTGTTATCATATACAACTACAAAAAACCAAATTACAAAGAATTTAGTTGAAAAACGCGTTCAAGAACCCCAAAATACCGAAAATTGGGGGTACCCTTATATGGGGACTACACGAAAAAATGTACCTATATTTATTATTTATAGTGGAGAGATTTGCTACCTAATAAGAACTCGACGTACTAAATTACAGTCAATTCGGTCGAACAATACGATCAGAACCCCCAAAATACCCAAAAATTTGGGAGTACCGTTATATGGGGACTACCAGAAAAACTGGACCTATATTTATAATTTTTTGTGGAGCAATTTGGAACACAATAAGAACCCAACGTACAAAAAATCAGAGAATTCGGTTATAAAACGAGCCCAAGAACCCCAAAATACCGAAAAATGGAGGTACCCTTATATGGGGTCCATCCAAAAAAATGGACCTATATTTATAATTTTTAGTAGGGAGATTTGCTACCCAATAAGAACTCAAAGTACCAAATTTCAGCGAATTCGGTCCAAAAATGCGATCAAAACACCCAAAATACCGCAAAATTGGGGGTACCCTTATATGGGTGCTATGCCTAAACGTGGACCGATTTTCTCCAATTTCAATGGGGTTCGTCCTTGGGCCAATTAAGTGACATGTGCCAAATTTAAACCAGATCGGATCATAAATGCGACCTGTACTTTGTTAACAAAAATACATGGACGGATGGACGGACAGACGAACATGCATAAATCGACTCAGAAAGTGATTCTATGCATATTCTAAAAAGGAACCATGGGTGTATCTCGATTATTTTTGCCTCTTACAAACATATGCACAAAGACACAATACCCTGTACCACAGTGTGGTAAAGGGTATAAAGAGACCATTTAGATAACAAATATATTTATTGATTCACACGGATGCGGTTGAGGAAACAGTTCAATAATACAGAGTGAATACAAGAACAGATGCTACCAAGCCACACTCCTTTCCACGGCAGAGGGGTCTACGATACGAATCGACACGAGTCTTACTTGGCCAACGTCTGTCAATAGGGCTGCTACAACAACAACAAGACCTCTTGACCTTGTTGACGATGCTGCCATGGTGACTGCAACAGGGAGTCTTCTCATGACTCCGGTGGATCATCTTCATGAGGAGACGAAGATCTTATCCGTCCATCGACACAATTATATGTTGTTGATGCAGAACTTGATTGGGTGTTATCGTCGGAAAACCCCTGTCATAATCTTATGGACCGAACATCCTCGCCCAGGCACGTCAGGGGAGATCTTCATGATCTTGAGAGAGGTCCAAAGATATAAAAGTGAACTTCTAGATAAAGAAGCCTGTGTGAATGGTATTCACATGGACGCAGTCGCTCAGGCTGTCGAGCAATATCGTATAAATAATAATTCATAATCAGAGACTACTCCCATCCATCGCAGCAGAGGAGAAAAAGCTGTCCCGACAAACACGAATAGTCTTACCTCAAATAATTCCCGCCTCAATTCTTATTGGACAAGTATTGGCGGATACCAAACACATGTCCTGCATGTGGTCTAGGACCACGTTGCACCTCTTCAATTGCCCAGCTAAGCCGACTCACCTATCGCCGCATTCACTATGGATACAACCCATTCAAGTTTCAACATTTTTTAATTTAGAAATATAGGAAGCAGAATGTATGTCATGTATTTAGTTGCTACAACAACAACCAAGACTAATATTAGGGTGATGTAGCCGCTTAAATAGATTTTATATAAATTTTGTTGGGACTGACGGTACATATCCAAAGGCCCTGCGTTACCTACTTCTTGAAGTAGTTGGAGGTACTACTATAAGAATTAATAGCATCAAATGATGTTATGTTTCTACAAATCTAGGACATAGGACTAAGGAACATATAGAGGATTTCATTTCG